GAAATTTAAAATTAACCGAAGTCATTTCATGCGTAGGAGACTAGGGCAATGTGTACTGAAGAATAACAAGAATAACAATGACAATTGGAAAGAAGCACAGTTTAGCAGACTGGCTAGTTTGAAAAGAAAGATGGCGAACTTGATTTTCTGAGCGCTTAATTGCAGTTGACAGTGGAACACCCACATAGAGATGTCTTATAGCCAGCTGGAGCAGACTGGAGCTCGGAAGAAAGGAAAGGGATAGACACATAAGTCAAGATTCATCAGCCCAGAAGGATGAAAGTTGAAGTTTTGGACTGTGACAATTCCTCTTCAGAAAACTGAGCCAGCAGGAGAGACCAAAGCTGGGCCTTGAGTCGTTACTCAGTAAATGCTTTTTGATTTTCTTGTGGTACAAACACTAGGTCCTAATCAAAAACTACTGCATGTGACTATGAGAAAGATCTTTTGAGACCTTGGAATAACTTTATAGAAAGAATAAGGGATCAGTAACATTTCAGGGCACTGTGGAGGGTATTGTGTAAGGTTCAGAGGGAGTAGGGGGAAATTTTCAGTGGCCAGAGCCTCCAGAGCTCTTTCTTTGTGCCTCTCATGTAAGGTCTTTAGTCACATTTTATTTTAGATGATAGCTTGAATTTGTTGTGTATTTGTTTTAACCAAAATTCTGAAGGCAAAACCTGTATCTTATGCAACATGTTTGCCCCTTTTATGCCTAATGCATGACTTGCAAAAACAATTGCTCAATAAAAGTTCTAAAACTCACTTCTCTGGTCCATATCAGCTATAGGTGGCCTCTGCAGTGTGTTCCTGACTTTTGAGTTGGAGGTGAGCTTGGTGGGACACAGACAAACGACACTTGTAAAAATGAGTCATTTGGGGTATTGATGGACCAAGCAAAGCCAGACTGAATGTCCAGAGTTGAGAAACTCCACACATGTGTTTGTTTTGTACAGAAACAAAAAATTTCCATTTACGGCTTTCATATGAAGTTTTAAAACTTTTAAATAATTGTGTTTATGTTTTAAAAAAGCAAGTTAATAAAAATATTTTAAAATAAATGTATGTTTGTGGATGAGGCAGGTAAACAAGATGAAGACCTTGAATCCAGTATGGGAGCCAAGGGACGTGTGGGTGGATGGCTTTATACAGTTTATTGTCACTTGATCTCATCCTCCCTTTCTTCTCTTTTGTAACTCCATGCATCCTGTTCTCCGTGTCAGCATCAATAACCATAAAACCAGGGGCTTCAAGTGCTTGTTTTATTTTTCACAATACGCATTAAAATAAACACAAAACTATCAAGGTAATGACATGTATGTCCATAGCTTAACTAAAATTATTTCCTAACCCGTTTGGGGAAGCGTTGCTGCTGGGAAATGTGTCTGGTCTCCCCACTTGTCTGGGGAATCCCTCCCATCAGGTACCCAGTTATTCACAGCAACATCCTGGCAGTGGAATACCGCCTGGCATAGAGTGGGCATCATTAAGCGTTTGCTCAGAAAATGAAAAGACAGTGAGATGCCAGCTGTAATAGCCAGAGTGCTGGTACCAGAGCCAGACTCAGTGAAGTCCAAAGATGATGGGTCTCAGGCTTTCCCTGCAGCCACTCAGTGGTGGAAAAAGACCACAGAAAGTGGCATTCCCCACAGTGGAGCTCTGTCTCCTACACTGGGATTCTGACTAATGAGTTTAGGGGGCAAGCTGAGCTCTTCCAAACAGAAAGCAAGCAAGTGAAGTTTCTCCCTCACTTGTTTCTCTGTGGCCGATGCCATCTGCTAGTTTTAAAAATAATTTTTGAAAGCAAGTGTTTCGGTTCTTTTCAGCATGCAGCAAAGACAGATGCTATTTTTAGGCTTATTTCCTGTCAACCCCCTACCCCAAAAGAATGAGGATCTAGGTGTCAGCGGTTCTGGCTGATGTCCCCACTCCACTACTAAGTTGTATGTGACCATTTTGCAAATCTCATGTGCATTGAACAATGGGAACAGAAATGATAATTCTGCCTCCTTCTCTGCTCTTCATTAGAGGTGTTGAGAGAGTAAAGTAGTATTGGCCTGAGAAAGTCCTTCCACATTTCAAAAATAATTGATTAACCTTTACTCCTCCCCTGTGACCTGCCAGCTTCTCCACCTGCCTTCTCTCCCCACTGGACTGTACACCCTTTCAGGAGAGGACACACTCACACGTCCATGATGTGTCTAGCCAGAACCTTACCACAGGAGGGGTTGAAATCCTGAATCTGCAGCTTAACTACTGAGTGATCTTTGGCAGGTTTAACCTTATCTGAGCTTCACCATTCATGTCTTTAAAAGGGGGAGAATGGTAATACTGGTCATGTTGTTTAGAAAAATAACTGAGATCAAATATATGAAGCACTTAACTCAGTCACATAGTAAATGCTCACACAATGGTAGGTTTATTTCATGATTGCTGCCATTCTGATTATTAGACACTTAAAACACATTTGGCAAATGCTCGTGACATATATATGATGATGCATTATAAGAGGGCTTTTTAAAATGGTGGGTTAAACATTTGTTATATGGTCAATATCATGCTAGACATGTTCCATATGTCATCTTAGTACTTTATGGGGTAGGGTAAGTAACATCCACCTACAGGTGAAGAGGCAGCTGGAGGTTTGAGAAGTTAAGTGACTGCTCAATGTCACACAGCTAGGAAGGAGGGGAAGGAGACTTCCAGTCCTATATTGATTTCAAAAGTGGAAACTGCCCTGCACTTTACTTCACCCCCTGCCCCTGCTCCTGGTCTTACAGCCCCCCACAATAGCTTTGCAACTTTTGACAGCAAACCTTTTACATTGCAACCCAGCCATACTGACATATAAATATAACCTAAACATACATTTCATAAAATAACATTTATTCTATGCTGTAGGGCACTCTGATCATTTCCACTTCTTTCTTTCATTTTTAAGTCGATTGTGTAGTATAAAGGAGTGATTTGACCCAAGTGGAAGTCTCTAAGAAGAGGTGGAGTTATTCCTTCACGTAGCAAACACCCTTAGATGGAAGATGAGAAGGCAGGTCTCACGCAGGTGCTGCCCAAGGACCATAGCATGCATCTGTCTCGTCAGATCAAGCGATAATACTGGGGCTCCACTATTATCTCCATTTCCCAGATAAGGAGACCCAGGTATCTGATAACTTCTGCAGATACACCCAGCTCCCAGGGAGCAGAGCTGGGTTCCCAATAAAGTCTTTCTTGCACTACTCTCTGGGCATCTACTACATGCTGGTCATGGCACAGGAATGGGGCTTACACAGCTGAGTTGGACAGAGTGACTTGAAGTACTTCCCATCTCCCTTGAAAGATGTGTTGAAAAATTTCCCTGTATGTGGTATAGATTTCTTTCTGGCCCTAATTCTTTTACTTCTGGATATGTTCTCCTAAGGCTACTATTTTTCACACTTTAATCATTCTTATTTTCCCCATAGTCACTGTGTTATTTATTACTGCGCACCTGAAAACTCAGTGCCTTAAACATTTATTATCTCACAGCTTCTGTGGGCTGGGAGCTCAGGAATGGGTTCCTGGGGTGGTTCTGGCTTTGGGGCCTCAAATGAAAGTTGTATGTCTTCTTGGGAGAAGTGTCTTTTCAGGTCCTCTGCCCATTTTTAAATTGGACTGTTTGTTTTTGTTGTTGAGTTGTGTATGGCTTCTTCATGTATTTTGGATATTAGCTCCTTATAGGAGGTATTGTTTGCAAATATCTTCTCCCATTCAGTTGGTTGTCTTTTTGTTGTGTTGATAACATCTTTTGATATGCAGCTTTTTAGTTTAATTTATTTTTGCTTTTACTTTCTTTGCTTTTAAGTCAAATTCTTAGAATCCTCTCTGAGACCAAGGTCTGTTAAGTTTAGTACCTATACTTTCTTTAATATATTTTATTGTTTTAGGTCTTATAGTTAGGTCTTTATCATGCTAAGTGAAATAAGTAGACAGGAACAGACAAGAACCGTATGATTTCAGTAGGATATAAAAAAGGAAGCAACAAATGCAAAAACAAAACAAACAGACTCACAGATGCAGACAGTTTGGTGGTTACCAGAGGGGAAGGGAGTGGAGGAAGGATAAGGAGGGTAAAGGGGATCAAATACATGATGATGGAAGGAAACTAGACTATGGGTGACGAGCACATAATGCAATATACAGATAATGTATTATAGAATTCTACACTGCAACTTATGTAATGTTATTAACCAATGTCACTTCAGTAAATTTAATTAAAACATTGAAATCCATTTGCCAGCTGGTGTGTCAGTCATCTGAAGGTCTGGCTGGGGCTGGAGGATGTTTCCAAGGTGGGTCGCTCACGTGGCTGGGAGTTAGCACTGGCTGTTCGGCAGGAGGTCTTTGTTCTCTGCCACATGTACCATTCCACAGTGCTGCCTGAGTGTCCCCACAGCATGGTGCCACCTTCCTCCAGAGCAAGTGATTTAAGATGGAGCAAGATGGAATCTGTCATCTCTTTTATGACCCAGTCTTGAAAGTCATATAGTCATTTTTACTGTAAACTGTTGGTTACCAAGTCTGCCCTGCTCCTTGTGGGAAGGGCCTATGCAAGGATGTGAAAACCAGGAGGTGAAAAACCAAGGTGGGGGCATCATGAAGGTATCAGTAGGCCCACCTATAAACTGTAATAGGACCTACTTAATATTTTTCACTTTTTACTAAAATTAGCTTTATCCTAAATAATATCCATTAAGTCCCAAGACTCATGTGCTAATTATATTTTTCAGTACAAATTAATATAAACTTAGAGTTGTTAATTAAAAAGGAGATTACTGAACTACCTGTGCTCACCTGTATACTTCCAGTGGCCTAAAGGCTGCACATGGGGAAACAATGGACCTGGCAGCTAGAGGCCTGTCATAGAGTCCTGGTGGTCTTAGGTCATAAGTCCCAGCCATTCTCTGCTCTCCATTTGGAACCTGAGAAATGACAGATGTTGATGTTGTCATGTTGTCTTCCTCCAGGACCGCCTGTACTTCGTGATGGAATATGTGAACGGCGGTGACCTCATGTACCACATCCAGCAGGTTGGCCGGTTCAAGGAGCCTCATGCTGTGTAAGTGAGAACTTTGCTGTGCATTTCCCTTGGGATATGTGGGCAGGTTGTTAGTTCCTTTGGATTTGTAGCTGAATAGGGATTTTAAATATTTGGGGCTGCTTCTTCAAATGAGAAAGGTATGGCTAGGGGAGAAAAGCACTCTGCTCAATGTGGGATGCTTCTTTCTTCCTAACACCAGCTAAGAACTTGATGCCTGAAAACCGTAGCTGTTTCTTCATCTTAATTCTTCCTCCTGACTCCCAAGGAAAGATCTCTAGCTTCCTTAGAGAATGTCATTGTGAGTTTTGTTCATTCATTTGTCAATATTTAACGAGAGCTCACTATGTGCTTGGCCCAAACAGTTAATTGAAACTTGCTCAAGATCACAGAGCTAGTGTGAGGCAGATCCAGAATTCTGACCCAAATCTTAGCTCATGTTCTCTGTCCTGCACCATGGTCCCTTTACGTACCCCTACTCTGGGAGATGAGGACTGGCTGTTCTTTGTAGCTCCTGGTGTGGGGAGACTGGTCCAAGTCCATTCTGTTCCCTTCAGTCTATAAGGCAGCCCTCTCTCTCTTTTTTTTCATCAAATAATTTTTATTGTTTTTCTATTATAGTTGCACCAATTTTTCTCCCTTTGCCCTCCTCTGACCATCCCATCGCCCCCCTCACCCCGCTTCCACCATCAATTCCCAAACTAGTGCACATGTCCGTGGGTCATTTATGGATGTTCTTTGTCTAGTCCCTTCCCCTTCTTTCCACCATTATCCCCCTCCCCCACCCCCCATTCTGGTCACTTTCAGTCTGTTCCATGTTTCCATGCCTGTGGGTTTTTTTTGTCCATTAGATTCTTCTTCTAAGTGAGATCATATGGTATTTGTCTTTCACTGACTGGCTTATTTCACGTAGCATAATATTCTCCAGTTCCATCCATGCTGTTGCAAAAGGTAGGAGTTCCTTCATACTTTCTGCTGAGTGGTATTCCATTGTGTAAATGTTCCACAGTTTTTTGGTTCACTTATTTACTGATGGGCACTTAGGCTATTTTGAGCACTTGACTATTGCAAGTAGTACCACTATGAACAAAGGGGTGCGTAAGTTCTTTTGAATTGGTGATTTGGGATTCTTAGTGTATATTCCCAGCAGCAGAATATAATGTCATCATGTTTCTCCCCTGCTGTTGGTTAATAGGAGTATGGCAAGTCCTGGAGTGAGCCATGATAGCCTTACCTAGGGCATTTGCAAAGATCTTACGGTCCCTCAGCAAGTTCCCAGGACTGAGCTAGGGCCCCATCCTGTCGTTCCAGAGGCTTCTGTTCAGTGCAGCCTTGCCCGATCCTCCCACCTGCCAAGATTATGGTCGCTGTATTCTGGTAGGGTTTGCATTCTTGCACACGTACACAAAGGCACACATGTACATGCATGCATCCACACACATGCACACATGGGTACGCACACACAACATATATTATCAGGACACATAACATCGTGCCTAAAGCCCTGCCCAGCCCTTGTGGTATAACTGGGCTTTTTGGTTCTCTCCAAACCTTTTGCCTCCTGGGCCTTTAGTAAGAGATTTTCCATCCTGGCTGGGTCATTTATTAGCTGTATAACTTGGCCAAGTTATTTCATGTCACTAAGCCTCAGTTTTCTCATTTAAGGAGCAGAGATGTAATAATAGAAACCATATCATAGGATTGTTATTAAGATTAAATCAGATAATAACACAAAATGAAGCTAGGTAGTGGGCCAGTCTTCAGCAGATGGTAGCTGTCATTATTAAGATATTTTAACCTGGTATAATCTGAAACGATCATTCTCCATCTAGTCCATCATGTGCCATGGCCTCCTCCCCACTAAGTAATTGCTGAATGTCTGCCCACCCTGATTTGCTTTTAAGGCAGCCTCATAGCTCTCTAAACCCTGCTCATTCATCCACACTCCTCTAGTTTGTTTTATGAGATGAGGGGCTGACTATCCTTGGTGTGGCATTGATGCCCTACGCCCAGTTCAGTATTATATTGAATTCTGAGAGTTGCCAAGCATATGGTGTCCTTGCATTTCTCCATGACTTTTTTTAAATTTCAGATTTTACGCTGCAGAAATTGCCATCGGCCTGTTCTTCTTACAGAGCAAGGGTATCATTTACCGGTATGTGAGCACTGTTGTACTTTCCATCTTCTCATCTCCCTTTGCTCCTCCCTTCCCTGCCTCCTTCTTTAACTGTTTTTAAAATTAGACTCCGTGGTGGGGGAGGAATCCTCCAGTGCTAACTTGGGCATGTGTTCTACCAGGCAGCATCGCCCACTGCCCTGGCAGTTTGGCAGCTTTGTGTGGGGATAACGATCCCTGTGGACGCTGCCACCAGGGATGGTTTGGAGTCTCAAACCTGAGACCATTTGCTGTTAGAGGAGGAGGCTCACCAGTAGGGCCCAGCACTTCTTTCTCTTGCCCCTGGACCCCATATTTGGGAAACAAGCAAAGAATGTTGGCTGTCAGAATATGATAGATCATACTATTATGAAACAAATTGTGTTGTTTTATTGTGACCACTATTAGAAATGGATTTCCTAGTAGCTTGCCCTGAAAGACAGGATTAAGGTTGGGACTTGGCATTTGCCTGTTTCTGGAGGAACAAGTGTATGTCATAGCTGTGTGAGTCATACATTTAATGTTTCATACAAGGCAGACTGTTGAGCCCGAGGCTGCTATTTGTCAGTGAGTCTGGGGTGTGCAATTCTTCTTACACCACATGGATGCAAATAGCATAGACAGTGCTGGCCTGGGATGCTTTGTTAGACGAGAGATACAGGCAGGGTCACAGGGCCTCTGAAGGGCACTTGGCATGGGTCAGGGTCTGTTTAAGAGGCCATGATGAGCCACAGAAGTTCATTTCATTTTTCATTTGACAAACATTTATCTAAAGCCTAGTATGTGATAAGTGCTGTTCCAGGTGGTGAGGGTGCAGCTATGAGAAAAATAGGCAAAGCCACCTGCCTTTGTAGAACTTGTAGTGGTGGGAGACAGTTACATAAACTAAAATGTAACCTGTCAAGTAGTGATAAGAGCTATGGAGAAACATCAAGCAGTGGAGAGGGCTGATGTGTGCTGGGTGGTGCTAGGGTGCCCATCATTATGCAGACAACGTGGGATTAGGGACTGAAGAGTTAGGGTGGCCTTGGAGTCCTGGACCTTTTAAAGCAACTGAAGGATGCGGGACTACAAGGCATAATGGGATCAACTCTGGTGGTCTCAAGGCAGGTAAGGTGGTGAGTCTGCGGGTGCTGGTGGGATGGAGGGATGGAAGGTACGGGCCTTTCCAGAAGCCTGCAGAATCCTGGGGCCTTTTCCACTCCTCAAAGTGGTGATATTAAATCTGGTTGGGGAGGGACAGTGTTATACTGAAGACCGAGTCCCCACTCACCCTTTAGTCCTGATAATGGAAGGTAAAAGTCAGAAGGAGGAGTGGTTTTACCTGGCACGTGTCCTAGGGACTGGCCTAGGAAAGCTTGGAGCACTCGGGTTCTCTCAACTGGTTTTTCTCTTCCATTATTCTCCTAGATATAAAACAAAAAAATTGTGAAAAATATGCCATCCTATGAAAGATAAGGGGTCTCTAACTTACATCAGTTTGTGAAGTGCCCCTGGATGCAGGAAGCCTCTGCAGACACTCTGCCCTTCATTTAGCATTCTGAGGGCCTCTCTTCTCAGATCTGGTGTCTCACTGTGTCCTCGTGAGAAATTTGGCACAGTTGGATTTGTAGAAAAAGAAAAACACAAAGGTTTGTGGTCCCTTCTTGATCTTCCTGCCAGGTTGTAAGCTGTTGGAGGGTTAGGGATGCTTTATTTTCACCTCTGTTCCCCCACAACACCTAGCACAGTGTTTTGCACAAATGAGTGGCTTTTGGTTGACCTAAAATACGTAACATTTATTAAGTCTCTAAATTCTTATGTTTACAACAGTGACCTAAAACTTGACAATGTGATGCTGGATTCTGAGGGCCACATCAAGATTGCTGATTTTGGCATGTGTAAGGAGAATATCTGGGACGGGGTGACCACCAAGACGTTCTGTGGCACTCCAGACTACATCGCCCCTGAGGTGAGAGCTGACGGGACCCCAACACTCGTGTCCATTGCACCGATGTCCCTTGCTTCCTAGGTGGCCACAACAGAGCAAACCTCAGGCTGTCCTTCTCCTGTTCTCCAGATCATTCCTTTGAGATCATGCATGTAGATTAACTCAGCACACATTCAGAAGCGCAGGTCCACAATACATCAAGGTTTGGGAGAAGTTTAAGTAAAATCAAAAGAGCCATCCATCACATATCAGTAAAATTTTTCATCAAGCTGCTGTGGCTTATGGGCAGATGATGCCTCCTATCTGTGGCATTGCAGTGTTTGTTAAGAGGAGGGAAAAGAGAGACAGTGGTCCCCTGGGCTGACATATGACACAGGATGTGTCCTAATAAGTGTGCAGTAGTTGTACTGAACCCTGGTAGATTAGGAATTTTTCTTCCTGTGATGAAGACACAAACGAAAGGATAAAGATTTAATTTGGGTACCCACCTCCCTTCCCAAAGGAAATAGTTGGTTGCAGAATGAGTTTCCCCAACACATCATGGTCCAGAAATTTGTGCCAGAAGATAGTTTTCCTTTTTCTCTGAATTGGTCCCCAGAAAGGTTACTTTCTGTGCAATCTGTTACTAGGCTTTTTAAAGGAATGGAACTGAGAGTATGGCACAGACTCTTGGAAGTGGACATTCTGGAATTCCTCTTTTCTTGACTGTTTTTCGCTTGATATGTAACAATGGTGATAGGGAGCCCCATGTAACTAAATAACTCAGCACAAAATTTAAAAGCTGCATTCTCTTTTACCAAAGCAGGTCCTCTTCCAGGTACCTAGTTTACAACACACGCATACACACACACTCAGGTGGAAGGATATGTATTCAAAATCCTTTCTTTACCAAAACACTATTCTTGACAGACAACCTCAGTGATTATCAATAAAGGAATGGTTAGCTCCAATATGTGACATTCCTATTAAGAAATACTATGGAGCCTTTATGAAGCTCAGAGTACATTTGTGTATACTAACTTGAACAATAGCTATCAGTCAGGGAATAGGCAGTAGACTGAACTATCTATAGTATGGAATACTACTGGGAATTGATTCAAAAGAGTGAGTTAGAGTTATATGTAGATATGGAAAGATCTTCAAGACATATTGTTAAGAGAAAAAAAATGAAGGTTCAGACTGATGAATGCAACATGATACCATTTGTAGAAAATTGAACAATACACAGAACACTGCTATACATTTCCTGTGAGTATGTGCATGAGCGTGTAAGAACATGGAAAGCCTGAAAGATTACAGGTTTTATAACATTGGCTGCCTTTGCGGTCAAGGGCATGGTGAAGGGAAATGTAGCTCAATCTGCATACAGTTTAAAATTTTCACACTGTAAATGTATTCTTGCATTATAATACTTGAGTCATTAAAAAAATCAACCCTTAAAAGAATTAATCCTTTGTAGGACCCCATGGAGTTTCTACTATGTGGTCTATACTGGTTTATTGTCAGACACTTTTCCTGAACTGCCTTGAGTTCAGTAATCTCAGGCTCTCTACTCTTGCTGCACTTAACAGCCACCTGAGGAGCTTTTAAAATGTAGGTGTCAACCTGAATCAACAGAGTTGGACTCTTTGCAGGGTGGGGCCCAGTGTCTGTGGTTTTCAGCAGTTGCTTGGTGGTTGTGATGCCAGCATGACCAAGGGGCCCCCTCCAGCCCAGTGACGGAGCAAGAGGCAGCACCTCCCCCCCCGCCCTTTGCCATCAGCTAATCTCTGGCACCTTCTTTCACATCCTCAGGCTCTCTTCTCCTGTGTAACAGGATTAACTGGTTAGGTTCTCATGAAGATGAATACGACATGAAGTGAAGACACCATCAATGAGAAGAGTCCTCACAGAAAGCCTTCCCTCTGGTGGTTCATTCCCCTTGGAGGGCATTTCCGATCTTAGTGGGGGCTGAGGTGGGACATGGCGTTTGATAAATGGACCAAGTTTGTGCAGACACATTTACTCAATAAAACATGCTATCACTGAATTAGAGAACTTTCGAGTAACAGCAAACATTTTGAGGGTATAATATGTGAGAGGCACATATTTTTCCTCCATCCTCACAAATCCTATGACATGATAGATATTATGAACTTTGTTTGGTAGATGAAGAAACTGAGACTTTAAGAAGTTATATTTCTCTTTCCAAGATCGCACAGCTGGGAAGTAGCAGTCAGGATCCCAGGCTGGGGCTGTTTTACCTCAGACCTTGGCCTTTTACCTTTGCTCTATCACCTCTGAACCCCTTTGATAGATAGGTTTACACCCTACATACTGAAATATGGATGGTCACAGCCCTTCTTTGACGCGCCCTAGCAATTTGGTAGTAAGTATCAAAAACCTGAAAATTGTAAAATTGTGTATGTCAATTGATCCCCCAAATCTACTTCTAGGAATTTATTTATTTATATAGCAAAAAAAATGTAGCACTTTATTTGTACACTTAAAAAGTTGTACATGGGGAATCAAGATGGCGGAGGAGTGAGTGGAAGTCACACTGACCTCCTTCCAGGATCAACCTGGAATTACAACTAAATTGTGAAGAAATCACCCAGAACAAACAGCTGAACAAGCAAGAGAGGAGCCTTGTAACCTCAGAGACAGAAGAATCGGCGTTAGCATGATCTAACTGGTAAGGAGTGTGGTACAGACCTGTGACGGTGGGCGGGGTGCCCACGGGTGGCAGCACCAAAAGGATATTGAAACGGCCTGTTGGATCTCCCTGAGAAGAGTGGGGTCTAAAACAAAAATGGGGATCTCCAGCCCATAGCACCAGAGCCCAAAAAGTACACAGCTGCAAAAAGCGGCAGTGTTGCTCTCTGCCAGAGACAGGTGGCTAGAGACCCAAAGAACTGTTTAAAGGGCCAATACAAAACTTTTATTTGCAGTCACTTACCCTGGTCTCCGGCAAAGGCAGGGGCAGAGTGGGCTAGAGATGTCTGAGGAGAGACTGAGGAAGGAGGCTTTGAGGAGAGAACTAAGAGAGTAGCCATTGTGATCTCGGTGCTGAGTCATCCCCCCTGCGGCAGCAGCCATCTTGCTCAGGCAGAGCCCATGACCCCTGAGTGGCACCTGCATCAAAGGACCCAATAGCCCCGCCCCCAGGTGGGATTCCACCCCACCATGTGCTGTCTAAGCTGCCTGCTGAGTGCAGAGTGGCAGCCACAGACAATAAATCCCTAGCAAAAGGGGGCACAGAGAAGTCTGGCGACACTTCAGGAGAGACAGCTTGGAGGCTTTAGGGAGAGAACGGAGAGAGTAGCTGGCAGGATCCCAGTGTGGACTCCTCCCCCATATGGCAGCTGCATGAAAGGTCCCAATAACCCCGCCCCCAGAAGGGACTCTGCCCCACCCTGAGCTGTCTAAGGTGGCCTGCTGAGTGCAGAGAGAATAGATTAACAGCTGAAGGAGACAGCCACAAACAGTAGATTACTGGAAGTCTTGAACAGACTGCCTAAGGTCGGACAGGGTCAACATCTGACATCATCAGAGGCAGATCCAGAAAGTAAAAACAGTGGTCTCCAACCATAGAAGTTCACACCACCAAGTCAGGAAATCAAGACAGATCAATTTAAGAAGCAGAAGCAAAAGAGAAGAGTCTCACAAATAATGGGAAGACAGAGAAATACACTGCACTCAAAGGGAAAGGAGGAATCCCCACAAAGACAACTAAATGAAATAGAGGCAAATAAACTATCAGATATTGAGTTCCAAACAATGGTTCTAAGGAAGCTCAATGAGCTCAGTGAGCTCAGAGAGAATTACCAAAAACTACAGGGAAACTATGAGGAACTTACTGCAAACTATATCGGCATGAAAAAGGACACAGAAACTATCAATAGGAGACAAGAGGAAATGAAGAATACAATTTCTGAATTGAAGGACATAGTAGAAGGAATCCAAAGCAGGCTAGATGGAGCCAAGGACCGAATCAGTGAGCTGGAAGACAAGGTAGCAAAGAGCTCCCAGAAAGAGCAAGAAAATGAAAAAAGACTCAAAAAGAATGAAGAGGTATTGAGGGAGATGCAGGACAACCTGAAACGTAATAATATGTGTATAATAGGGATACCAGAAGGAGAAGAGGAGGAAGAAGGGATAGAGAACCTGTTTGAAAAAGTAATGATGGAAAACTTCCCCAATTGGAGGAGAGAAAAAGTCACACAAGTCCAGCACAGAGAGTCCCATTCAAGAGGAATCCAGTGAGGCCCACTCCAAGACACATCATCATTAACATGGCAAACATCAAAGACTAAGAGAGAATCCTAAAGGCAGCAAGGGAGAAACATACAAGGGAGCCCCAATAGGACTAGCAGCTGAATTCTCAACAGAAACACTGCAAGCCAGAAGGGAGTGGCAAGAAATATTCCAAGTCATGAAAAGCAAAGGCCTGTAACAAAGACTGCTCTACCCAGCAAGGCTCTCAATTAAAATGGAAGGCGAAATATGGGGTTTCCCAGACAAAAGAAGGCTGAAAGAATACACCTTCACCAAACCAGCACTGCAATATATGCTAAAAGGACTGCTTTAAGATGAAGAAAAAGTTTCTATGAATACCCAGTTCCTTTCAGAGTTGCCAATACTTGATATTACCAATATTTTTAATACCCATTAATCTGATTGTAGCAATGATGTTACTTTAATTGTTCCTTTTTTATTTGTTGAAACTAAACCTGTTTTGTATCTTTCTTTCCTATTTCTATTATTTTTTAAAAAAAGCTTTAAATGACTTTTTGGTATTCTTATCCGTTTATTGATTAAAGGTTTGTAGAACTTATTTCAAAAAAAAAACCCTATTAACTATGTTTTAGATGTGTTGCAAATACTTTTTGATTCTATTCCTGGTCCTTTAACTTCTTTTATATGTATATTACTATATAGTTAAGTGTTTAATTTAGTCATATTGTTAATATTTTTTTATAGCTTCTGGGTTTGAATATTTTACTTCAGGTCATGAAAAATATTAGTTTGTATTTTCTCCTAAAACTCCTTAGATTCTACATATTGATTTTTAACTCACCTGAATATTTCTTGTATAATGTGTGAAATAGGGCTCTGTATTTGTTTTATTTCAAGAAATAATGGTCCATGCACCTTATTTGTTGAATAAGCCTTATTTTACCCATTGACTTGAAATATCAACTTAATCCTATATTGTTAGACAGATATATATATTTGTCTCTAGAATGTTCATTGTATTTCATTGAACTACTTGATTATTTCTGTGCTGGTGTCATGTTGGTTTAATTGCTGAGACTTTATAAGGGTTTTAAATTTTTTTTAATATAATTAACTTTGACATTTAAAAAAAATAAATAAAATCAGTCTGCCTTTAAGAAAGAAAGAGAGAGCGATAGAACTGCTATCTTTTGTGACAACATGGATGAAACTGGAGAATATTAAACTAAGTGAAATAAACCAGTTGATAAAAGACAAATATCATATGATCTCACCTATAAGTGGACTGTATTCAACAAAATAAACTAATGAACAAAATAAACCACAGGCATGGAAACATGGAGCAGACTGAAAGTGACTAGTGGGGATGGGGAAAGAGGACAATGGTGGAAAGAAGGGGAAAGGACTAGACAAAGAACATGTATGAATGACCCATGGACATGGACAACAGAGTGGGAATTGACTGCGGGAGCGGGGGTGGGGGTGGGATGGGTTGAGCAGGGTAAAGGGGGAAAAATGGAGACAACTGTAATAGAATAAACATGATTTATAAATTAAAAAAGTAAAAAAAAAGTTGTACATAGAAATTTAAAATACAGTTCTGCAAAACTGGAAGGACTCTCAGGGGAAAGAGAATGTGTTGCCTTCCACATTGTCTTCCAACTTAGGAGTTGTTCTTAAGGAAAAAATTAGACAAATGTTGAAACATCTATACAAGTATATCTATTGTAACATCAGAAGAAACCTAATCAATTAGGAATTGATAAAATAGATTTTGTGTAGCCATTCAGTGGAATGCTATATTAAGGTAAACCTGATTATGTTGATATACAAATATTAGCATGGAAATTTTAAGTGAATAAAGTACTTTATTAATATTCCACAAATTAAAATATTTATGTTTCGCTCTGGCTGGTGTGGCTCTGTGGATTGAGCGCCAGCCTGAGAACCAAAAGGTCACCAGGTCGATTCCCAGTGTAAGGCCTGTGTCTGGGTTGCAGGCCAGGTCCCCAGCAGGAGGCACAAAATGCAACCACACATTGATGTTTTTCTCCCTCTCTTTCTCCCTCCCTTCCCCTCTCTAAAAATAAATAAATAAAATCTTAAAAAAATAAGGTGTCTTATGTTTATATAAAACACATATATATACACACAGAGTTTAATCTGCATTAATAGAAAAGAATCCAGAAGGAAATAGTTTAAAAATCAATCATAATTTTTATTTCAATTAAGGATTATGGATGATTTTAATTGTATTCTCACCTATATTTTAAATAGTAAAATATTAATAAATGCTATTATATTTTTAACTTAAATTTTTTTAATTTGAGTAAATAAAAACATAAAATTTACCATCTTAACCATCTCTAAATATACCATTCAGTAGTGATAAGTATATTCACATTGTTTTATAAATGTTACTACTTTTATAATAACAAAGACAGTTTTTCTTCTTAAAAGGTCACACTCACTGTGTTAAAATTAAAAATAACGTACCATACTATGACTCCAAAAGGCCATGTTACATGCACAGATGTTTTCCCCACCTGCAGGCACCTCTGTAAGGGATATCCAAATTTCAAAGGTGAAGAAACAGTTTGGGTGGGCACCGGGCTCCCTGTCCACTGTTTTTGACATGCAGTGACCTGCATCTGGGACTATGACAGTCAATTTAATCTTTCACAATAGGCACGTGACAGGCAGAGGAAGACCTCTCCCTCCACCCCTGCCCCCAACGATGGTTCACTCTCACTGTGGAGGGGGCGTTCACTCTCCAGCTCTGATGGGAACCTGCACGCTTCCCTGATGGACTGCCTTCTGTCTTCCAGATAATCGCTTATCAGCCCTACGGGAAGTCAGTCGACTGGTGGGCATTTGGAGTCCTGCTGTATGAAATGCTGGCTGGTCAGGTAGTTGAATTTTAAGTGATTTGTAGGAAAAGTCCTCCCTCAACCCCATCTGTCTGGTTTCTTTAGGGGAATGTTGTCAGCTTGATGCCCACTCATAGATCTGAACTGCCGCGACCCGTGTGGAGTGGTGGTCCCTGAGTGGGAGTGACAGGAGATTGAAAAAGGACAACACAAGACAGTTTAGACAAAAGTGGGGGGCAGGTGGGGCATTGTCCTCTGATGGAGAGACAATGACAATGACCACAGCCTCTGCATTTATTTTATAGGGGTTGGTTAGATAAAGCTCAGGGGAGTTTTGCAGACTTAGGGAAATGCTGTGGGCACAGATTGTTCTGTTCCCAGACTATCTACATGATAAAACTTTCTTCTGGAAAGGATGCAGTTGTCTTCAGCTGAAGCTTGCGGTTACCTACTCCCTTCTCAATCCCTGCGGACTTGGGCTGCCGTCAGCTGCCAGCTTGCTCTGCCTTGCAGATGCAAGCAGTCAAGCATGGCCTTGCCAAGTGCATAACCTGGCTTTTGACGTCAGCCTTCACTGTGCCCCACACTGAACCTCTCTGACTTCCACAGCCTTGCAGTGACCCTAGCCTGCTGGCCGTTTTTCCTCATCTTCTTGCTGGCAGCCCTGGAGTGCAGCCTCCCTGGGGCCCCAGGGAGGAGGGCCTGCTGGTCTGGGATGGTTGCGGAGGTTCAGGAAGGAATCCTCTTCCTCACTCCCTGTCTTCTGTCTCACAGGCACCCTTTGAAGGGGAGGATGAGGATGAACTCTTCCAGTCCATCATGGAACACAACGTGGCTTATCCAAAGTCTATGTCCAAGGAAGCTGTGGCCATCTGCAAAGGGGTGAGTGAGCTCCTGAAAGCTTTGGGCTAGGACCACCACATCCAGGGTGCAGGTAGTGCCCTGCACTAGGCTGCCCCACCTGGGAGGAGGAACGGAGACCAAGCTCCACCTCCTACCCTACTCAGAGACCTGCTACATCCCAGAGGAAATGGCCTTTTTTCCTCATTTGCACAAAAGTGCCGTAAGGGCCGCCTGTCACCACATGTTGCTGCTGGCTGGGCTCCAGTCTCTGGCCCGGCTCCAGTCTCTGGCCCAGCCCCAGAATGCTGACTGGGACGGATGAGGGAGGAAGCACAGAGATCCAGCAGAAGAGCTGGATCACATGGGAAGGTGAGAGAGGTCTGCGGCATGAATCCACAGCCGTGCCCAGGTCTGCTGCGTGTGTGTGGTTAATTCTAAGAGCAGGTAGCTTTTGTTTGAAGGAAATATACTTTGAAGGATTGCCTAGATAAGATGACCCAAATTCAGTCACCCTAACTCACCACCCATTCCCTATTCAACACCCAAACAGCACAAAGCACTCACATTTGTACACATGCGGCTTCCGTAAATCTCACTTGTGAAGAAGGCAGAAAAACACCTGTTTTTGGTGCATCTGCTTATGCATTTGGTGTGAGGCAGGCTTGTGCCCACAGTGACCTGGGTGAGTCCCTGGACATGAGTGGGCTTCACTTTCAGTGCCACTGGGCTGACCTGACGTGCCTTTGTATTTTGCAAAGGTCCCCATGTGGCTTGAAAACCATATGCCTTTAAACATGTTATCCAAATGTGGCAACTTTTCAGCTGTGACAAATGTAAAAGCAACACTATGAGACCTTGGAGAATAGGGCCCAGAAATGCCTCCGTTTTCAAGTATTTGCTGTCTCCGCAGTCAGTGGTTCAGGCATGTTCTTATGGTTAGAGCATGTCTGTGCCTTTTAGTGGGTTCCCACCTGTGTGTCTGAACACAGAAGGCCTGCCAGTTCTAGATCCTGGGGTGTTTACCGATTCCCCATTGCCCGCCCCAGCCCTGCTCTTCCTGGGCCGTCAGGTGTCCTGTGAGCTGCCCCAGGCAACAGAATGCTGGAGCAGTTGGGCGGTTCGGTCTGGCCTCTCAGCCTAGATGCACCTCTGTCACACCTGCGAAATTCCCATTCTTAGTAAATCACCTAAGCTTGGTGTTTAAGCTGCCTAGGTTAATATACAAATATCCCTGGGGAAACCACATGTGAATTTGTCTCAATCTCTGCATCTTAAAGTGAATTGGTTAAAAATATTTTTTGTGAAGGTATAAGACAGGGGCAGAGAATTGAGACCTGCAGGTTCATTAGGAACTTAAACAAGGCTTATAGAAAACAGAGGGCGCAGAGTGAGGCCAGTGCAGACCCCTGTAGATTTTACGGTGGGGAGAGAGAGGGAGGAGGACATGCATTGAGGTTTCAGTTTGTTTAGTGATTGCCAACATTTAAAAATCAGGGATTTCCTGTAAACATTTGGCTTTCCAGTTTCTCTTAAAAAATGCGATGTTGCTATGGTGATCCTGGCATTCCTGCAAAACATCAGTCAGCTGGATTGGGAGCCAGTGCCCCCTTTAGATAGAGCATGCTCTCTCCAATTTGCAAAAATCCCCATGTGACCCAATTCCATTTGGTTTCAAATCCTGATCCTGGCATTATTAGCCCTTTGACACAGGGAAATGGTTTGACCTCATCTGTAGATCGAGGATAATGATGGGACTGCACATAGGGTTCTCGGGATTAAAGGAGTCAGTGTATGTGAATGCCTTAGAATAGAGCCTCCTGCTCTTCCTCCAAACCCTTGAGCTTTATCGTTACTGTTACTAATTCTGGCACTACTGTGTTACATGGCAGGCTCCTCTTGGCACCTGAGTTTGCACCCCCCAAAACAGAAATTTTTAAAGTGGGGGATTTTGGCAATCGAGAGCCCCTTTGCAAATCTCCACTTTCAGCTTCCTAGGTGCATGGTCTTGATCAAGTTAACTTTGCATCTCTGGAATTTTATTTTTTAGTATTCATTGAACAGAGTTTTTGAGAGTGTTAAATAACATAACATAAAAGAAAGCTTCTTGAGTGGTTTTGGTGCATAGTACGTGCTCAATACACACTCAAGACCTTCCCCATCACAACTGTGCCTGGACTGGACAGCTGGGATTTCTACGTGGGTCATGGAGGAGAGAGGATTTTCCAGGTCAGCTGCATTCAGCTTCAGCTCCAATTAGCAGTTTCCCTGGTAGAGCAGATTTCTATTAACTTAGGACCCATAACCTTCAGGGGTTAACTGGGGTGACTTTCCAACTACTGGATTTGGGGACCTTTCTGAGTTCGGTGGGCTGAGTCCAGTATGAGTTCTTTCTTCAACGTTGGGCCTCCAAAGGAGTGATGCTCAAGTGAGCAGCCAAATGCTTCCTCCTGAATGACAGGCCCCAGGGGATTTATCTGGGAGGCTATCAGAGCTGGGAAACACTGATTAAATCCAGGAGTCTACGTAGCTTGAGGCACATGGCAGGAGTGCAGGAACTGGGCAGAGCCTCTTGTTAGTGCCAGGTATTTCTGCAAGTGACTTTTCTGTGCTTGGCATTCTACTTAGATGAAAATTAAGCAAGGCTTTTGAATACAGTCTCAATTCAAGTGAAAATGCTCCTTCTGTATCCATTCTATTAAAGACTCTACTTTCTATTAAAGAAAAAAAAATCAGTGTATCTTTGCTCAGATCGCCACTCCCACTTTGAACTTTGAGAAGACAGAAGCCCAAACTGACTGCACATCAACATGAAAACAAGCAGGGACTGAGTAGGACAGGGCTGGAGCGCTTTGGGTAAGGCAGGTCTGTGCAAGGCACAGCTCTGTGACTTAGCTGTGTGACTTGGACAGATGACTACTTTACTGGACTTTTTTTTTTTTTTTTTTTTTTTTGCCTAGAAGATGAAGAAAATAGTTGGTAAGATCTCTAAGCGTTGTTGTGAAGGTGAAAGGTATAATGGGTGATGGCTGGGAAGTCTTTGGCACAGAGCCTTCTCAGTGCATGGGACCATTGATGATATTATTAGTAATAGTACTAGTAGCCATGATTTCAAAGCCCTTTCTGTCCTCCATCCTAATCCTACCAATATCAAGACTTGGCTAAATTTGCTCACCCTCCAGAAACCCTTCCTGACCAAGCCAAGCCATGAATACCTCAGGGGAAACCACACACGAAGAATTCTTCCATTTCTCTTAAAAGCCCACGTTTTGGAGTTAGGCAGTGGTAGGATCCAATCTCTGCTGTTTACTATCTCTGACTCCTTGCTAGTTGCTCAACCTCTGTGAGTGTCAACTGCCTTATCATTTGATGGGAAAAGTGATATACACAACTCACAGGATTATTGTCAGAGTCAGTGCATGTAAATAAAGAGTTAGCTTAAAACATTAAGTGCCCAGTTATTTTTTCCCCTGGAAGATAAAGCACATATGGAAAATATGTGTGTATGGGGGTTGGGGAGAGGCGGTTTCTGATGATAAATTTTCTTTTAAGCAGGAATCAGCTAAGCTGAATATCCAACAGAGCAGGTGTGGCTTGCTGGGTTCCTCCCTTCTCCACAATCAGCAAATCCTGGCCAATTCTAAGGGCTCTGACATCATGGCCTGCTTGGTGTCTGCTCAGTTCTGGGAAGCTTCTTGGACTTATATGTTCCAATCATTTTTGTTTTGTCTTTTGATGCCCTTTCATTGCTACTTTTTTTAAATCACCACTCTTCCATTTTCACGCTGTGCATTTGCTGAAGTCGTGATATGGAGATATTTTCAAACTGCTTTGGATTCATTTGCAATAGGAGGTCTGTCTGGTTTCATCTTGGAGTGTCTATTCATTTTGTTGGTTAGTATTGGCTCAGAGACCCAAAGATGGAGGGTTTTGATAATTAAGTCATTTAAATGGAACACCAAAAAATCCTCAACAGAATCTAGTATAATATGTGATACAAGGGGAATGAGCTAGATTAGGTTTTGACTATTGAATGAATTTTCAGAAAGTAATTACTTGACACTTGGGTCTTTTTGACTAATAGTTGTTTTTTTTTCTGTTTTGTCATTTTCACAAGGGCTTTACTGAGGAATGCAAATGTTATCTGAACGAATGTGGCCTTTGCCTTGGTTCAACTCCAAGTTTCTTGTGGTAGGGGGAGAATTTGAAGATTTTGAAACTGTTCTCATGAAACATATTCTTAAACCAAAACTCATCAAGTGACACTTCTAACTTGAAGTTCAGAGCTTGATTAACGAGAGGGATCCTGCTCTGGGATGAGTAGCTGCAGGCTCTATGGTCAGGTCCTCCTATTAAAAAGCCCTGGCCAGGAAATTATTACAGGGATGAGAAGCAAAAAATAAAAATTAGTTGGAGTGCTTTTTGTTCACAGTCTTTTTTTCAGTTGTAGCTTACATTCAATATATTCTGTATTAGTTTTAGTTGGGATTCTTTTTTTTTAATTTATTTAAATTTATTTTTTCAAATACATGTGTCTCTACCTACCCCCCACCACTTTCCCTTGCCCCCTTCCTTCTTCCCTCCCTCAGCTCTTCCCCTTTGGTTTTGTCCATAAGTCCTTGCTATATGTTCCTTGACTTTCCCCTTCCCTTCCTTTTCCCTGTCCCCCCTCCCTCCTTCCGTCTTGTCTCTGTTGGTTTCTTTTCCTTTCAGTGTTGCTGGTCTTATTTTCCTTGCATCTTTGTATTGTTGGTTAGGTTCCACTTATAGGTGAGATCATATGGTATTTGTCTTTCGCCCCCTGGCTTATTTCGCTTAGCATAATGCTCTCCAGTTCCATCCATGCTGTTGCGAAGTTTAGTAGTTCTTTTTTTCTTTCTGGTGCATAGTATTCCATTGTGTATATGTACCATAATTTTTTGATCCAATCATCTACTGATGGGCATTTAGGTTGCTTCCAACACTTGGCTATTATAAATTGTGCTGCTATGAACATTGGGGTGCATAGGTTCTTTTGTATTGGCGTTTTGGTGTTCTTAGGGTATAGTCCCAGCAGGGGAATCGCTGGATCAAAAGGCAGTTCCATTTCCAGCTTTTTGAGGAAATTCCACACTGCTTTTCACAGTGGCTGCACCAGTCTGCATTCCCACCAACAGTGTACCAGGGTTCCCTTTATAGTTGGGATTCTTTAATGTGCTTTCTTCCCTAATTCGTTAGAGGAATCACTTCAGTCTCTCAGGTGTACTCTTCTGAAGTTCATTAAATTAAATATTTCTCTCTCTCTCAAAGCTGATGACCAAACACCCAGGCAAACGTCTGGGCTGTGGACCCGAAGGTGAACGTGACATCAAAGAGCATGCATTCTTCCGGTACATTGATTGGGAGAAACTTGAACGCAAAGAGATCCAGCCCCCGTATAAGCCGAAATCTGTAAGTAGGCCGTGCCCTCTGACTGTTGGGCACACATACCCTACATGATCTTTCCCTGTCCGAGTGAGTGTGCCCACAGCTCTCAGAGGGGCAGCGTGGACGTGTCCACTTGCATTGCTCAAAATACTGTACAAAGTCACTGGTAAAAATGGAGATTTCCATTCATTCAGCCTAGCCTCTACTCATGTGGGAAAGATAATGAATATTGAGTTTGTCTTATCAATTCTGTTACCGTAACTGTCTCTTACTGGTGGCTTTTTGGGAGTGGTTCTTTGGTGAGCAGCACTCAGATCCACATTCACAGTATGGTAAAGAATTTAATTTAGCCTTCATTCTTTCCTTGGTTCAATGCCATTTCCTTGGTTCAATGTCATTTTCTCTTCATACTAATATTGAGAAGTTCTTGTTGTTTATCTCAACAGTATTTAAATTTAATTCTGAAACACATGCTATGTTTTAGTCAGTAAATAGGTAGCTCCCTACTAAAGGGAAAGAAAATGAAGCAGAAGCCGACCTGCTCACAGACCTGCTGGAGGCTCTACGTGTAGCTATGATGCTGAGGTAACTTTTATAACATAAGAAGGAAAATCTCATATTCCTACCACTGCCCGCACACGCATATGTCCTGTCCCCAAAAACTCAGAAGAGAATACTTGTCAGCATCTGAATTTGTCAGACCGCTGAATCTGCTGGGAGGATATTTCTTTGTTAGATAAGTAGAACGGAGACCTGGTGACTTTATTATGGGTTGTAAAACTGCCAAAAGTAAACATAAATATTGTCATAAAAACCTGAAGTTTTAAGAGTCTCAGATGTGAAGAAAATGGCCATGATAATGGTATCAGTTTTTGTTATCAGTTATTACTATTATTCATTTCTTGGCCACTCACTATAGACCACACATTGTATTAAGCCTTCACATGTAGCATCTAATTAAGTCCTCACCACATACGCCTTATAATGGAAGAGGAAATGGAAATTCAGAGAACTTGAGTGTCCTGTCCCAAGTCACTCAGCCAGTGTGTGATGAAGCAAGGATTCAGAGAGTCAGACCCCATCAGAGGCACACCAGAATGCCCGAGACAAAAGACAGGTGGTTTGAGAAAGCCTCCCAGGTGATTCTCTCATCTCCCCAGTCCTGCACATCTCTAATGATTAGGAGACAGCAGCTCTGGTGAGTCCTGTTTCTCTCTGGACACTTCCTGGTGCTAGGAAACAGGTCTCTTACACAGCCAGTTCCAATGCGTGGTCCTTCTAATTATTGCAAACTTGTATATTGATATCAGACGCCCAGAACTGCCATCCTTGAGTAGTTTCCACCCAGAGCCTCTTTCTCTGTAGACATTTGCAGGTGCTGGTCTTATGCTCCTGAATCTTGTGATTTCCAGGCTCCACACACCCCGCCCCTCCCGCCAAACACATGCATACCTACAAGCATGTCCCATATGACATCACGTCCATGTCTCTCTTACCCTCCAGGTAATCAACAACCATGTAAAATACAGACATAGGATTGAGCTCAATATTTCCAATAGTGTCTGACTCTCAATGAATAGAGTGGGGCCACCAAACTACTGATTATTCTAGAGATGGTGAGCTTGGATGAATCGGTTCCCGTCTCTGCTCCTATTTCATCATCTATAATACAGTGATAGTAATAGTCTCTCCGTGAGAGGACCATTCTATGCATAAAGCACTCAGCATGTGCCTGGTACAGCAGAGTTGGTGGTGATTTGTTAGCAGCGTCACACATTTACCACGGTCTCGGGTACAGTGTCTTGGAGGGCACAGTGTTGGTCTTGCTGATGCTCTTCCTTAAGAGAATGCCTGTGAGTGCACTCGGGTTGGAGAGGGGCCTGCGAGTCAAAGGCAATATCATCGCTTTCAGTAACCCATTTGGAAAAAGAGCGAAAGGCAATCTGGAGAGAAGAATGGATTGTCTGTTCAGGAAACTCAGAGGTGGACCCTTCATGAGGTCTCAGAGCTCAGGTCCTGCTCCTCATGTGGCCAGAGGAAAGGTGCAGGTGCTCTCATCCCTACCAGCTTTGAAACAAGTGACACTGGGGTTCAGGCTTTAGTGATAGGGCAGTGGTTTCCATAGTTTGGTCTCCTGCCCAGCAGTATCAGCATCCCTGGGGACATCAGAAGCTCTGAGGGTGGGGCCCACTGTGGAGTTCAGTGTGAGACACCGCGGCAGGAGAGGTGGGCAGAGGCCAGAGGAGCGTGGACTGGAGAAACATCTCTTTAAGAGGAAGACTCTGGTTCTTGCCAGTCTGGGTGAGGGGTGGTGGTTCCCAGGAATAGGTCACAGACTCAGGTGCCTATGAGGCAAGGCAGATAATGAAAATGAGAGAGGAAGGAGTGGTGGGGACAGAGACTACCTAGAGAACTGACAGGCTATCTAAAAGGTCCAGTGCATCTTTATTTCCAGCTGGACAGTAGGAAGACTCTGTTGCCCATTATGACTTTTGTAATCTTTCTACATTATCCAGGAGAATAACAGCTGTCTTTTTCTGAGTACCCTCTGGGAGCCAGACCCCGGGCTGGCCAGCTTTGCCGCACAGGGAGGCAGGCAGTACACACTCCATCCTCATCAAGACTTTTATGTGAAGTCTATTTTTTGATATATTGGCAACAAGTTTTTAAAAATTAGACACAATTCAGGCCAAATAAAACACATATGTGAGCCTTGTGTTGCCACGGGCTGTCAGTTTGTAACCTCTGGGGTGGTAATTACTCAACATCAAGCTGATGTTCAGCCAGTTCCCGTTCGTTCTGGTTATTTGCAACCAGAGTCCGTTCTGATGGGTCAAATATTTTGATTATTCCTGCTAAGCAGTAATGACGATACAAGGCCCAGCCCAGTGTCTGGCTCAATGAAGGTGCTTAGGAAAGGTAGCTGCTCTTATGAAGAATAAAAAAATATTACAGTAATTAGTAACAATAACATGATCCTTTGGCTGTTGTGCTTTTGATACGGTTTTCAACTGATCGGTGTCTTGAATTCCCTGGCGTGTGTTTAAACAATGACTTTCAAAGTACAGTGACTGGATTGGGCTCATGTAGTTTAAGATGTTCTACCAGTGGCTCTAAGGGGAAGCAGGCACTGTCCTTGATGTCCTCAGACTGAATTAGAAATAATGATAACGAATGTGCCACCCACTCATTCGAGGCAACCTGAGCATGTATCTTTCACGTCGCGTACACCAACCTGAGAGCCTCCCACCTAAGGATTTCACATTTCCCCTTCCCCACACCTTCTGAAGAGCTCAGGGCCAGTGCTGGTGGAGTCCCATGTGCCTTGTAGGATATTAAATGCATAAATATGCCAGTGTTCCTGATTCACACATGCCTTTAAGTAGAATGTAGCAAGAAAAAAAAAAAACCTTTTGGGGTCTTCCAGGGTCCATCCTCTGCTCCTTCCTGACCTCAGCTATTGTTGAGAACCAGTGTTTCTGAGCTTCTTGCAGCACCTGTCTTCCCTTTCTGGCTTTGTCCACATGGGACCTCCTCCCAGATACCCCAAGGCCCTCCTGCCACCCTGTCCTCCTAGCACCTTGCCCCTTTCCCTCATGAAAGAGCAGAACGTCAGTCTCTCAGGGAGGCCCGTGTTAGTCCTGAATTGGAATCCTGTGCTAGTGTCCTATCAACAAACTCATTCCACTCTGTTGTAATTTCTCATTCAATATTGTGTTTGTCTTTTTGACGAGACTAAAAGATTGTGACAGTTGTCCTTTATTCTTCCCAGAAGGGCTTAGCATATAACAGATAGTTAATAATTTTTACTGAGTAGATGAATGAGTAAAGGCATGGCTCTAGAATAAGATACTGCAATGTATTCTTCCAAGGAATGTAAGGGATTATGTAGGGACCTTTTTGTGCAGGGCTGTAACATGGGTGATGACCTATATCTGCCATGGCACCACATCATTGTGCAGTGTGCACCCCTGGGGTGCTGGTGAAGGATCTCAGGGTGCACGCATGGCTGCTTGCACTCTACATGGAGAGGGCTATGACTCCTGCCATCTGTCATCACCCAGGCACGTGCCACAGGTACCATGATGGAGCCTACCAGAGCTTCTTAAATATAATATACGCACACGTGTCACCTGTGTATCTGATTAAAACGTGGGTTCTGATTCAGTGGGGCTGGGGTCCAGCCTGAGATTGCAAATTGCAAACACACTCCCAGGTGACAAGATGCTGCTGGCCAAGAGCTATGCTTTATGTGGCAGGGGCTGGAACATGGTTCTCCTGAGGGTAGTGCCAGCTGGTGAGTTGGTTGGCAGATCCTCTTGCTTCCGGCACACCATGTTGTATGGTGAGGGCGGTACCGAAGGGGCAATAAGCTTTATACAGAGTTAGTGCCAGTGACCATAGATCAGGTATGCAGCAGGCTGTCTTGGGTCAGTGTGGTAGGGGAGAGGCACTAGTCTGTGTGCTGAAGGGTGGAGTATGAGACCGAGTGAATTCTGCAGTGATGGACTGAGAAGCACTTGTTCTGGTTCTTTCCTCTGTGGTGACATTGTCTCCTCCTCTGGGTCATTCATTCAGCACGTGTTTATTGAGGTTAGGTACTGTTCTAGGTGAATGCAAGGATTTTTACTGTCCATAGAAATAAAGACAGTTAAAATCCCTGCCTTCATGGAACTTATATTTTAGAGGGAGTGGGCAAATAATTAACACTGAAATCAGTGAGTATGTTAGAAGTCAGTGAGCATTATGGAGGGATGGGGCCTGGGAGAGCTGGTTCAGGGAGAAGTCAGTTTTAAACAGGGTGATGGAAGGCCTCAGTGAGAAAGTGACATTTCAGCAAAGATGGAAAGGAGGGGATGGGATGAGTAAGTCCAGTATATATCTGGGGGTGGGGGAGTGGCTCGGGTAGTAGCAACAGGTACAAAGGCCTGGAGGCAGGAGCTCACCTGGCGTGATTAGGGACAGCAGAGGCCAGGTGGCTGAGCTGAGTGGCCGATAGAGATACTGAAAGGAGATGAGATCAG